TGCACACAGGCCAGAGGCAACCATCAGGCGTCAACTGATGAAACCAAAAGACCCACTGCCACGGCAAGAAACGTCTGGAGTCCTTTATCGGATCTGGTGCAGTTGCGGACAAAGCAACTACGTCGGAGAAACCGAAAGACAGCTCCGAAGCGAATGGCCAAACACGCTGCAGCAGTGCGGAGAAATGACGCCAGCTCTCAAGTTGCGGCTCATTCGACGGGTTCCGGCCACACATTCAAATTTGACGAGGCCGAAATTCTCGCAAGAGATGACAACCGCGTGAGCCGGGAGCTGCTTGAGTCATGGTTCACTGGCCCCCAGTCTATTAACAAGTGCAATGATCTTCCCATTCAATACAGCGTGCTGAAACTTCGTCTAGGCGGAGAAATTGGCCACGCGGGAGCGCCCTGATGAACACTCTTCCCAACACCCGGGTCAGCGCGTCAGATGGTTGAGCAATCATCACACCAACATCCAACGCACGTGGTGAAATTGCAGCAATTAACGACGCGAATATCGACCATCACGCCACGTGCAACGATCCCTGATGAAGGGGAGGGAGCCGTGAACATTCATAGGTATACGGTGGCATGGCTACTGCATCCTATAAATACTGTAGCCACATGTGCATGAACCACCCTTATCTGCTTTTTTGTCTCTGATGATGGATTCGAGCAGGAATCCGAAACGTCAGGCTAATAAAGCTCTTGTCCCGGCGATCGTGTCTTCTTCTTCAATACGTATGCCTCTTATATCCTCCTAAGTGGACAGTATGCATTAGGCAGGAAATTAACTAAAATTTGCCACAAACTCACTCTCCATAAAAATTCTGCTACAAAAATCCCCAGTTTGGTCTCAGTAGCAAGCCCGTTTCGAGGACATTGTTCGACTGCAAGTTGTGCTAGTGACTACGCTTAAACGAAGCAAAAACTCACTCCTCTGATAGGTGTCGCGGGCGCCCGCTTGGGAACCAGCGTCGAGAGGGCAGACGTCAGCAGGGAGAACTCCTTTAGGCAAAGGTGAAGCTCTGGATTCCAGCGAAGTTCAACAGCCTCCGAGAGAGTCACCTCCATCAGCTAATTTGGGCCGGGGCGGGGGGGGGGTGTAAAACGACAGCAGATCTGATGAGAGTGTGGGCAGATAGGCCCAAATGAATATTAATCAAGAACGTGCGCGGGCACACACGTACCTTTTCCGGCCCGAAACACGAAATTTGGAAGACCGGTAGGATGCAAAAGCAAAAATGACCCTGTGTTGTTTCAGTCCGTGATGCTGGCGAAGACGGTGGCGTAAGGCGTACTTCACTATCAGTCGGCTGTCCTAAGTAGTCACAGCAGCTTCTAGACAGAGATAGTTCCAGGTAAGCGAGTCGGTTCTCGGTGCTGGACGGGACAACCGACTCCCGAGTAGCTGATCGCGACGGGGAGCAGCGGGGAACGGGGGAGGCTAGACATTGGATTGCTTCCACGCCGAGTCGAATATGCGCTGCGTAGCGGGAGGGGAAGGGGGTGAGACGTAGAAATCATACAGCTAGCAGAAAACCAGTCATGGGGGGGGGAGCGGAGGGTGAATACTTACGTCCTCGGCTGGACAGGAAGAACAGATTTAGCCGTTCAAGGCAGCCGTCAAGCTTCCAGCCCTTGAGATTGAAAGTCCGGAATGGATTGAAGAAGGCGTGTTGATGGTGATGGTGGTGGCGGTTTTTTTGAGGGGAGCTCTCTGGTCGCAGGGGCCACAGCGCGCAGACCACGTCAGATGCGAGTTCACCCTGCAGACTTGAAACTCGGAAGCCAATAGTCTGGTTGTGGCACTGGAAGTCGAAAAGGAATACTGCCTTAAACAAAGCCGCTACTTGTTATTTACAGTAGGGTTTCTTTTCGGGCCGAACAGTGTCCACTAGAGTGGTGGCGGGGTTGGCGCATGCTTTTTGACATTTACTGATTGTGCGCGGGGAGAATGGCTTATACCCTCATAATGTGATACCGACCGGCTGAATAAAGTAGCGATATCATAAAAACCAACGTGAGGAAAAGGTATTTGCTTTGCTTTACGCAAAGTGTGCGGTTCCTTAGCTGCAAAGACGGACTGGCAAAGCAGTGTAAGCATTTGGGTAACGATTCCATTTTTTAATAATTACGAGTTTGAAGCTTTCTTCTTTAATCGAGGAGGACATGAGGGCAAAAAGGGAGACCTGATCCACAAACCTGCTTTGGGTAATATTGGCTGGCGACGGGTAATAAGCCAGAACTGGCTTTTCCAGTCTAATGTGGCTCAATGGTTAGAGGCGTTGGACTTCTAACCAACAGGTCACGGGATCGAGCCCCAGGTGTTCCACACTTCGGAGTTGGGTATGACTGACTGAGGATGGCTAATAAGCCAGAAATGGCTATTCCACTCTCCCTGTCTTTGTCGGTAATAACATACTGCCTATATCATGCGACGAGAGAGAGCCCTAGGGCAAAACGGAACGAGTGAGTTCCTTAAAAACGATCCGTGAGCGCCCTTCTACCATTATATATATATATATATATATATATATATATGAGGCCGCGAATTCCTGGAGGCAATGCACTAAAATGAGGCATGCATCAACCGGCATATCGATCTAGATGCCACATACAAAATCGTTAAGGATAGATTCAAAGTGACCCAACCAATCCCGAGAAGATGACTTTAACCAATCATAGAATCCTTTGTTAGACTCGGTCTAGAAGTTAATTGTTTTTGCACGTCCGTTGTCTGAAGACGAACTGGGGAACCAGTCTCGAAAATTTACACAATAAAGTTCACTGTTTCCCAAAGAATTACATATTCCTAATTATCCCTTTGGATGCCTGTTTCTCAATATATATTTTACTTCAGAACCTCGAAAATACTAAAACTGGCTGTAAAGGAAAGAGCTGACCACAAAATACCGGAAGTGGACGTGAGATTCCTCGTTTGAGATTGCTGAGACAATCTTCCAGAATAACAGTTTTATTCGTGATAGTAGCAGTAGCACTATGACAACTAGCAGCAATTACTTAGTTGGCTTAATACCAAGGCACATGAATTTAAAGCGTGCGCACTCGGCGGTAGTAGTAGTAGTAGTAAGTAGTAGTAGTAGTAGTAGTGGTAGTGGTGGTGGTGGTGGTGGTGGTGG